ATGTTTTTGTTGTAATTTATTATGTCTGTCTTTTCTCATTTATTCTCTCAGCATTTTATTCTGAATTTTTTGGTTGATGTTGAAATCGTAATTAAATTTGTTGTATTAAAGGGACCCTTTTCCCGTTAATAAATAAATAAATAAATAAATAATTATAATATTACAAAGTGTGTGGAATTAATCGCGCCCAATGAACGACATAATAAACGAGGCGAGATTAAAATTTCATTCTTGCTGCGCAGCGGCAGCAGCGGCAAAATAAAAATGCGACAAAATAAAAGTACCGGCCGTAGTCGGATAACTTGTAAGGGAACATCGTGGCTTAGCGACGAATTAATTAATTATCAAAGCCGCCGACGCCGTCGCGACACTGTTAAATCGAGGCTATAGCTCGACGGTCGGTTGGCGGCCAACCTCGTTAGTGACGTGACATACTAATTGAGCTCGTGAATAATAATTATGATTGGTGGCGCGGAGACGTGTCAGCTCGCATCATGGAGCCGTGCTCGCTGTATGTTAATTCGGGCTGCGTCGTTGTTGTTATCCTCGCGAAACGTCGGGACACATCTTATCGTCCCATCTAATCCACCAGACCGCGAAATCTCCACGGAATAAATTACTGTGTATTATATGTATATGCCCGTCGCTATCATACATTTTACATTCGCATATATCACGTTCGATTACTAATCGATAGCCCGATATAACGCGGTGGCACGAGTTATCTAGGCCTGTGATACGATATTGTTTCATCTCACAATTCGATAATTAACCCCTCGCGCATTCGACCGTTCGTTATGACGATATAATTCTGCATTTCTAATAACAGATACGTATATAATTTGGTATTGTTCTTCTTCGAAATGTAACTGAAATTAATCTATAATTCTTCGCGCAAAACATCAAATTATCTATTTTTGTTCCCCGCGATGGTTTATTTAGTAAAATGACGTTGCAGCTGGAATTTAAATGAAGATCGTAGATTTTACAAAACTCATCCTTTCAATAATACTTGAATACTTGCATTATAAATATATGGGCGCGATTCGTGAAGAATTTAGATTCTTTCGTTAAAAAATCACAACACGATTCCGAAGAGATAAGTCTTTTTCTTTCCCGCGATGGCTTATTAAATGACGTTGCAGCTGGAACTTGAATGAAGATCGTAGATTTTACGAAACTGATCCATTCAATAATACTTGAATACTTGCATTATAAATATATGGGCGCGATTCGTGAAGAATTTAGATTCTTTCGTTAAAAAATCACAACACGATTCCGAAGAGATAAGTCTTTTTCTTTCCCGCGATGGCTTATTAAATGACGTTGCAGCTGGGATTTGAATGAAGATCGTAGATTTTACAAAACTGATCCATTCAATAATACTTGAAAATTCTTGGATTATTTATAGACATATAGGCGCGATTCGTGAAGATTTTAAATCCTTTCGTTAAAAAATTATGACACGATTCCGAGGAGATAAGCCTGCGAGAGGCAAACGGGAAGAAGGGAAACACGTGAGCAATGGCAAGTACCAGTTGTAACCAGTCCTGTTCGTTCCGCCAGGAGCAAATTATAGTCGCGAGGGACATTCCATTACATGCGTAATTATAAACTTGCACGAGGACGCGCGATGGTCGCTTGTGAAAGCTACGGGACTCTCCAAACGCGCGCAGGCACGTGTGCGCGAGTTCTAATTAATTCTTAATTAAGTAATACGACTAACGAGCGTGCGGAAACATGAAACATATCGCGTTATGTAACTTTCGAAATTCCAATCCTAATAATACACACGAGAAATCCATTCTCCCGTCGTCCGAAGAGATTCTTTTTCTTTTCCGCGATGGCTTATTAAATGACGTTGCAGCTGGGATTTGAATGAAGATCGTAGATTTTACAAAACTGATCCATTCAATAATACTTGAATACTTGCATTATAAATATATGGGCGCGATTCGTGAAGAATTTAGATTCTTTCGTTAAAAAATCACAACACGATTCCGAAGAGATAAGTCTTTTTCTTTTCCGCGATGGCTTATTAAATGACGTTGCAGCTGGGATTTGAATGAAGATCGTAGATTTTACAAAACTGATCCATTCAATAATACTTGAATACTTGCATTATAAATATATGGGCGCGATTCGTGAAGAATTTAGATTCTTTCGTTAAAAAATCACAACACGATTCCGAAGAGATAAGTCTTTTTCTTTCCCGCGATGGCTTATTAAATGACGTTGCAGCTGGAACTTGAATGAAGATCGTAGATTTTACGAAACTGATCCATTCAATAATACTTGAAAATTCTTGGATTATTTATAGACATATAGGCGCGATTCGTGAAGATTTTAAATCCTTTCGTTAAAAAATTATGACACGATTCCGAGGAGATAAGCCTGCGAGAGGCAAACGGGAAGAAGGGAAACACGTGAGCAATGGCAAGTACCAGTTGTAACCAGTCCTGTTCGTTCCGCCAGGAGCAAATTATAGTCGCGAGGGACATTCCATTACATGCGTAATTATAAACTTGCACGAGGACGCGCGATGGTCGCTTGTGAAAGCTACGGGATTCTCCAAACGCGCAGGCACGTGTGCGCGAGTTCTAATTAATTCTTAATTAAGTAATACGACTAACGAGCGTGCGGAAACATGAAACATATCGCGTTATGTAACTTTCGAAATTCCGATCCTAATAATACACACGAGAAATCCATTCTCCCGTCGTATCTTATCGATGGATCTTCCATCTCATTCAACGATAGCGCTTTCGCGGTTTTCTATTATGAAAATAATTTCCGAAACGAAGGAATATCCCGAAAATATCCTCGATTCAAAATTTAATCGCAACTCTCGATACATCGTATAAAAATCGTCCGATTAATATTCAAAATCCAGAAACGAAATCCAGGAACGAAATTCGGTTACGTTATACGATCGCGTGCGTATCGGGAGATTAGGAACTCGCCGCGGTATTTAACATCTCGGCTCGCGGGAGCTTCGTGTAACTTGTAATTTAGCAGGGTACCGCATTAAGGGGATACTACGAACGAAGGAAATGCTTAAATCGCCGTATGTTCGGCCTCTCGGATACGACGAGATAAAATTCGCCCCGCGCGCCGTCCATCGAGGGGTTAACTGCTCTACCTAAACTCGTACTCGGAACTCGCATTTATCATAATCGTGACGCCTTTATCTGCGAGTCTAGGGTTAAGTGGAATGGACCTGACGTGTCCGGGGCGGATACGCCCTGCGAGCACGAATGCCCCGTGTTTCGATTAAGGATTAACATCGTTTAACAGAAACGGTTGTTGACCCTCGATATCGCCTCGAAGCGCTGTTTATCCGTGATTACACTTTACGATAATGCATCCCGACGCACGTCTGACACGCGCGCGACATTATCACTGTTCACAAATTACTTTCGTTTAATCGGCAATATATGTTTCGGCCATTTTTTCGGTAATATATTTAAATATATTTTAAATATCTTTGAAATGAGAGAGAGAGAGAGAGAGTAGGATATGGCAAATTCTACCATCGTGAAATCAGCGATATTTGAACAGGCTGTTTGAATTTTTTATTGATTCGGTGGCACTTTTTAATATCATTGGATTTGGAACGAAAAGCTTTTTGAAATAGCGAGGGAATAATCCAATATCAAGGAATATTATTCATACGAAAAAAATGCGCTTATTAAAAATGCATCAATGCACAATTTATGGGATATATTATTAGTCTTTTCTGAAAAAAACATATTAATTATTATACTTGGAAGATGTACGCGCAATTATGATCATGATTAACCATTCAATAATACTTGAATACTTGCATTATAAATATATGGGCGCGATTCGTGAAGAATTTAGATTCTTTCGTTAAAAAATCACAACACGATTCCGAAGAGATAAGTCTTTTTCTTTTCCGCGATGGCTTATTAAATGACGTTGCAGCTGGGATTTGAATGAAGATCGTAGATTTTACAAAACTGATCCATTCAATAATACTTGAATACTTGCATTATAAATATATGGGCGCGATTCGTGAAGAATTTAGATTCTTTCGTTAAAAAATCACAACACGATTCCGAAGAGATAAGTCTTTTTCTTTTCCGCGATGGCTTATTAAATGACGTTGCAGCTGGGATTTGAATGAAGATCGTAGATTTTACAAAACTGATCCATTCAATAATACTTGAATACTTGCATTATAAATATATGGGCGCGATTCGTGAAGAATTTAGATTCTTTCGTTAAAAAATCACAACACGATTCCGAAGAGATAAGTCTTTTTCTTTTCCGCGATGGCTTATTAAATGACGTTGCAGCTGGGATTTGAATGAAGATCGTAGATTTTACAAAACTGATCCATTCAATAATACTTGAATACTTGCATTATAAATATATGGGCGCGATTCGTGAAGAATTTAGATTCTTTCGTTAAAAAATCACAACACGATTCCGAAGAGATAAGTCTTTTTCTTTTCCGCGATGGCTTATTAAATGACGTTGCAGCTGGGATTTGAATGAAGATCGTAGATTTTACAAAACTGATCCATTCAATAATACTTGAATACTTGCATTATAAATATATGGGCGCGATT